TGTCCACCTCCAGAGGCCAGTACCAGCTTGGCACCAGTATCACCTAAGTGGAGGGTCTGGCTTCGTGGGGTGTCAGGCATAGTCCAGCTCGATCACAGCTGCTGGTGGCACCTGCCCCGGAAGTCGAGGCTCTGCCTTTCCTTCTGCACCGGCCCACAGCAGTGCTGGTGCTTTGTAAATGTGTCTGCGTACGTGTGCGTGTGCGTGTGCTTCATCCCGTTCTGCCTCAGCGGGGACGGTCTGTGAGAGCGACCTGTCCACAACTGCCGAACTCTGAAACCTGCGTCACATTGGGTTCCGGTCTGTGCCCACGGACAGGGTCGTCCACACTTTCTGCCTTTCTCCCTTAGCACACCAGCAGGTCTGTATGTTGTACAAGCGAGAAAGTCTAGTTGGCAGCACGAAACCAACAGAAATCTGCTTAAATGCAAAACGTATTCGCTGTTTGAGCAGTTGCGTTGAGATGGCATATGTGTCAAGAGTTTGCTATGATTTACTGAGGAACTATGAAAATCCTGATGTGTTAACTGTTGTAGCCTCTGAAGAAGATGGTAGAGAGGATTCGCAAGTTCCAGATCCTCAACGACGAGATCATCACTGTCCTGGACAAGTACCTGAAGTCGGGCGATGGGGAGAGCACACCCGTGGAGCACGTGCGCTGCTTCCAGCCCCCGATCCACCAGTCCCTGGCCGGCAGCTGAGGGCGCGCACGTCACCTGTGCCGGCCACGTTCCAGAGCTACAGGCCACGCTGTTCTCTTAAACTCTTTAGGGAGATTTTTTAGGAGCTATTTTTCAGTATCTCTGTGCCTGTTAAAGGGGGTACTTTTCGATCTAAAAGCTTAATTTTATAAAATTGACTTATTTTTCTAGACTAAAATCGTATATGCTTTTGGTCATTAGAAAGTCTAAGATTTCTGGCTGCTGATTGTTGCGTTTTCTTACAAAATTCTTTTCCATTTTTCTACGGAATGTTCCAACAGCTGGCTGTGTCATAAAGTACTGCTGAGTCCCTCCATTGATCCCCTCGGCAAAAGTTGACAATGCGTTGGGATTTATGAACTTAAGCAAGAAACTCAATACCAACTAATTGTAATAAAATCCATTACCAATTAGAATTAAACTTAATGATTAATTAGTTCATGTTTAGACTCTTCTGAAGGTGTTTGATTCCTGTTTCTACTAAATCCATTGTAACAACATCTAATGTGTGAGGGGTGCAAAGTTCATAGCAATAAAACTAATGAAGCCTATTTGTGTTCATTTATTGGGACCCCGTGCACCCTGCTCGGATGAGGGACTCGCTCCGCTTGTTACTGGGACCCCGTGTACCCTGTTCGGATGAGGGACTCGCTCCGCTTGCCGAGTGCACAGACCGGGTGCAGGAGGCCTGAGTGAAGGCACCTGCACCCTGGAGAAGGGGCAGGTCATGTTGGGCAGTAACTTCCACGTGGCTTTGGAGAGGAAACAGCGACGCCCAGCAGCGGCATACAGGCTGCCGAACAGAGCGCGCACCGTCCCCTGCGCTGTTTTACCGTGAGTAACACGAAACGGAACTATTCTTTACAAGGGTACCAAAACCTGCTGCTTTGTCTAAGTGTAAGCTGATGACCCTGGGCCAGCGCTCCAGTTAGGAGGTAGTTTTGTTCTCACCCGGTACTGAAAGTAACAGGATATGACGAGTTACTGTAATGACTAAATTTAATTCACGTTAATGGGAAATTTATAAGACTTAATTGTAAACCAAATAAAATGCAGTGAATACTACGTATAAGACAAGGGCTATAAGGTGTTAAATAATTAAGAATTTATTATTAATCTCTGCATTCTCAGTGAGGGCAGTATCACACCGAAGCGGGTGAAAACTGGTTCTTACCCTATTGTGTACAAAGTACAGATACGATACAGCACATAATCAAATACACAGTGTATCTGCGGTGCTAAAATTATACCGGGGGGAGTGGGGGAGACAGTAGGATAAAAACGTCTAAAAAAGCTCTCTGCAGAGTCAATGATAAAATGTTGGGGAAATGGGGACTTATTTCATGAAGCATAGGGACAGCCAGCTCTTCCTGATAAAGCCAGCAGAGTGCTGTGTGGGATGTCCCATCGTCAGGGGATGCGCCCACACGCCCCCTGCCCCCAACAAGGACAGTGAGGTGCCCGTGGAGGCTGGTCACAGCGGACCGCGGAGTCAAGCTGTGTGTCCCTGGGCAGAAGAGCAGAGTAGTCACAACCTGGGTTCGTCCTGTCACCCAGGTGGACACTGTCAACATATTCTTGAGGCCAATTAACTGCTACCATGACAGGGTCTGAGGCTGAGTTCATTATACTATTCAGCCTTTTTTGCATATGTTTGAAATTTTCTGTAAACATTTTTTTCATTGATGTTTTGAAAAGATCAAAATATGGAGTTGTCCAAATGAATTCAAGCAAAGTAAAGTACTTGGTACAAACATCTTAAGTTTGTCGTACGCATCCGGACTTAGAACTTTGTTTCAGTTTGTCTATCGTAACGTGAGCTAAATTTTAAAAATTACCCTGGTCTAACATTTCCCAGAGTGGCCAAAAGATCTGTATGAGAGTGTGACTCATTATGAAAATACACTGGCAAGTACAAGAGATGTAAGAGGGTAACCAAGGTCCCAGGTGTCGGGGATCAGAGTCACTGAAGAATGCAGCCGGTCAGGCCAGGCAGCCCGACAGATGCAGGATGTACTGGGTCAACACAGGGCCAGGGAGGAAGGCCATCCAGTGTGTGTGGGGACAAGTCACAGCCTGAGGAATGCTCCTGTGGAGTGATTTCCTATCCTTTGTTTTATAAGTGAGTTTCTTTCATTTAATAACCTTAGGATTCTCTTTAACATTTCAAAATTAAAATAATTAGAACAGAAGTCATTTCTGTAGGTAGGGTAAATCACAGGATAATGTATTGGGATGGTTTTGTTCTTTTTTAAATCAAAAAGGTTTAAAAATAGTCAGGGATTGACGGAGTGGGCATGACAGATGTCCAATTCAGACTTTCATCACCAATGAAAAAATAAAGCATTTTTATAGACTTAAAACTGTCATCAGTGCATTTAGATTTGGGAGAAGGAAAAGTTTCAGTACCACCACGATAACAACAACGTTAACAAAAACTGGCCTGGTACCGAGGTCATTTTAGTGAGCGACCATCATCTGAATATAAGAAAAGTAACTTCTTGGTCCAAATTAGTGAAACTTTAAAAAAGATTGTCTCTAGAGAACATTATTTGAGAATAATGCTTTTTCAGAAACATTCTGATATTCAAATTCACTTAACAATTATAGATTTACTTTTTCATCACCTCTTTCTTAAAAAGCTGTCAGATTTCCATTTCTTCGAGAGATGTTTTCACCAGGGTGTTGTTCGATTCCGGAAGTTAAACTTTCTTCACTGTTACTCAGAACTTCATACATATTAGCGAGATTGCCATTCGTTGCTTTTTCGTCTTTTCTAAAAGATACAGGAAGACTTGCTAGACTAAAGCTGACGTCTTTAAAGGCATGCAACAAGAATATTCCCACAATGATTGTAAAGAAGCCACTCAGAGTACCAATGACATCGTCAACAGGCATATCTTGCCACTCCTTAAACAGAATCGCTGAGCACGTCAGAACGGACGTGGTGAAGAAGACATAGTATATCGGGGTCACGATGGACGTGTTGAATATGTCCAGCGCCCGGTTCAGGTAGTTGACCTGCGTGCTCACACAGACCACGAGGCTCAGAAGCAGGGTCCAGGCCAGCGGGTGTCGCAGCACGGGCTTCCCAGCAAGCAGCTCCTTGATGGCGATGCCCAGGCCCTTTACGCAGGAGACGGAGAACGCCCCGATCACGGAACAGATCGTTATGTACACAAGGATGTTCGTCTGTCCGTGGCGGGGCCCCACCACGAAGATCAGTATCAAGGACACAATGACCACGAGTGTCGCAAAGACCACAAAGCCTGGAGGAGGCAAAGGAGAGTCACATGTAGTCAGATGTTCAAGTGCTAAAAGTGACTGAATTCAGACAAAACATCTGGGGACAGCCGCTGGGGGTGAGAGAACCTGAACTACTGTCGGGTTCTAGCTGAACACGGAGACGTGAACCCAACGTGACAGTAGCTGACAACGGTGTAGCACCGTGGGCCAGGGGCTTTTCTCAGCAGTCCGCCCAGCTAACTCATTTAATCCTGATGACTGCCGCACAACCCCGTAGACACGCATCTTCACTGTACGTTGAGGAAAACGAGGCACGCAAGCCACATGCGTTTACTCCGTCCACTCCTCAAACTCTGCTAATAAAATAAATAGGACCGGGACTTCTAAAGCAAACGCAACAGATGAGGAGGTGACAGCAACGTGGAACTGGAGGCAGAGAGTCACTTGTCACTGACACAGCTGATCCCGCATCCGCTCTGAAGACAGAAAGTCCCTCTGGAAGTAGGGACCAGAGGCCTGGCTGCAAGTCTGTTCAGGCAGCACTGAGACCCCAGGTCCCTGCCCAGTTCTGACCACCTGAGTCGCTGTGACCTGCGGAGCCCCGGGCCTGCTGACATATGCTGGGGTGAAGCGTCTGCCTGTAACGTGTGACCCCTGCCCCCCTCGAGCCCCGGGATGCCGACTGGCAGGAGACTTTGCTGGGACCTGGCCAGCCTGACTCAGGAGGCAGCCAGATTCGCAGGAGCACCACACCGAAAAGCAGAGCGGCCTTTGCTCCACGTAGACGAGAGAGACTAGCGTCCCACAAGCAGTAGAAACTGCCACGGATGCCCTCGAGACGGCGACGCCCTGTCAGCTGCCAAAACAGCCCTAACTTGGGCTGACACCTGGAGAAGACGAAGCGCCGGGGTAAGGCCGACGCTCACCTCTGCCGGGGCCTGGGCAGTTTCAGGAGACCAGGTTAGGCGTGTGCGGCCATAGGAGCTGCACCGGCCCCAGTCACGGGAGCCCAGTGGACGGCCTGGGGAGGCAGCCAGAGGGCTGGGCACAGACCCGTAGTCCTGGGGTGCGATTTGGACACCGCACTCATAGCTCACGAGGTGAGGGTCCGAGTAAGCACCCCGGCTACCGAGCCAAGAGCCAGAAGGTCTATGGCCAAGAATTAAGGCCAAATGGAAAGAAACTGGCCCCAGTAAGGCCTGAAGCAACACCTGAGGTCTAAATCCAGGTTCTCTCCGAGGGAAGAAGACATCACCCTTGTCAGTGCCCTGTGGCAGCATCGACCGAAACTGCCCAAAGATGAAAGTTAATGACTGAAAACAAAAGAAAAAGCAGGAACAGGCCCACAGTATTCCCGATACGGAAGTTCACGGACAAGATCCTACAGTATCGGACCTCAGGCTGCAGCGAGACGCCGTGCACGCAGGTGGTAACTTGCACTGTGCATCATGGAACTGCCGAGAAGGGGAGTTCCATGGCTTCTGTATTTTTTTTTCCCCAGAATAAAAATCAACAAAAATAAGCTCTTGGAAATTAAAAAGCAGATAGAAAACTCAGAAGGAGGGCTGGAAGCTGAAACAGATCTCCCAGAAGGCAGGGCAAAATGGCAAAAACATTAAGAAAATCAGTGGTTGAATTCAGACAATCCAGTCACGGGAGAACGAGAATTTCACAAAGAGAAAACAGAGTATCAAAGGAGTACGTCAGTCCCCCGGCCTCAGACGTGGATTTTCAAATTAAAAAGATCCGCCGAGTACCTGGCACAAAGGATAAAAATGGACCCACGTCTAGGCACGTCAGACAGTGAGGGCAAAGGGGACATCATAACAGTTGCCAAAGATGAAAGACGAAGTTCCCACGAGCGAGTCCACTGTGCGTGGTTCCCTGCAGCGGCACCGGCAGCGGAGGACTTGGGGTCAGGACACCTCCACACACGCAGCGCCTGAAACGGCCTCCCCTTCGTTCCCGGCTCACTCCACACGGGAGGGGTGCCCGAAGAAAAGAAGGCCAGAAAAAACGCAAGGGGAAGGGGGCCCAGGAAATCCAGGGTGACCACTGTGCCAGGGGCCTCCAGACACCAGTCCAGACTGAGGCCAAACAGGAGAGAGATTTCCAGCATAGACGAAACTGAGAACAACTAACGCGTCTGACGTTACAGAGCAGAATTAGACCGCTGGGCACGTTTCAGGTTGGACTGATGGAAAACGAAGCAAACAAGATGATTATTCGTTCAGAAAAACTTAAGAAAAAGCCGGCCCCAGGGACGGATGCCACAGGGGAGGGGGCAGGGGGATGGGTAACGGTGAGGGGAAGGGTCAGTGATATCGCGACAGTTTGCGTGGTCACTAATGTGACCACAGATTTAGCGTGGTGAATGGTGTGACCCCCACACTGTCGGATGGACGTGTTAACGTGTCTAAGCCAAGATAAAAGTTATGTGGTGATAACATAAGCAAACCATTGAACAGAAGCTAAAGAGGTGCACAGGGTGACAGAACGGATGACGCCCAAAGCCGTAAGCTTGGTATCTGGAGTCACAGGTTAAAGAACCCAGCTGGCGAGGGAGGAGGGAGGGGCCCCGCCCTGCCTCTCAGCCCTGCAGAACAGTCTGGCTCTTCATATGCAAATGAGATTTTGATTAAAATAAACACTAAATGAAAAGGGAAACTACAGTAAGACCAGGGAAGCGTCTTTCCCTCACCTGGATCCCCGAGCTTGTGAGACATTTCATTTAAAGTCTCGATCTCCTCTTCCTTTGGGGCGTGAATGACCATAACTGTGGACCCCAGGATGCTCAGCAAACAGCCGATCTTCCCGTGAAGGTTCAGTCTCTCGCTGAGGAAGTATGAAGACAGAATGGCGCTGAAGGGGGAGGGGAGACAGAGAAAATGAAAAGCAGCGGCCACTGCTCCCGTGTTTAAGTATCGGTGCAACTCAGATTTTAAATTATTGGGCTTATAAAGATCTGGCTTTCAGTCAAGGTAAAGATGTATTCAATCATAAAGTGAAAGCTGGAAAGCACATGCTCCGCCACACACCGAACCAGTGTCGTTACCGACTTCCTACTGGAAGACTCAGTATGAAATCTACACCAAATGGAGCTATGGTACAAAGCTATATCCTAATCGAGTATTCCTAACCGGTGCTTATAACTCTGTTCTTACTGGTTGACGCATCCTCCTTACATGTTCATTTACTTGTCTATAATTTGCCTATTAATTAAAGTTATCAAGTTTTAATACTTTATAGCTACTTTTATCCCAATCTAAAAGAAATACAGTATAAACCTATAACATACTATATCATAATATACAGAAAATTAAGCATGAAAGACGTGTACTGTAACATTTTCACATATAGTACCTTGAAGTTATATAATTTACATATATATTATTTGTTTACATATAAATCAAATATATCTATCAATGGATTGATAGGCCTAGCAATCAGTCAGCTTGAGAACAGTAACCAAAATCCAGACTTCAAAATCCGAGCCTGTTTGGGCCGATGATTAAAATAATGACGGGGACAGGCCTCGGGCTGCACCTCCAAACACGTGGCCAGGCCAGTCTTCCCAGGCACATAAGGCTGCCCCCAGCAATGCCTTTCTGTGGTAGGTAGAAATCCATTCCTCCCCGACCACCACCTGCCGAGTGTAACTTGGAATTCTAAAGGGTTGGAAATCAAAGCGGAACAGGAGCAGGAGCCGGCCCTGATGCCAGCGAGACAGTGTGAAAGCGTTTTCTCCCAGACTGACGCCGCCCATGCACAGAAGCTAACTCTTTAAAAGCAAAGTACAGCATAGCGTTAAAACAGTTCTCAAGGTTACACGTAATCTATGCTGAGCACGTGTGACGAGGTGGCACTGAGCACTTCCTGACTGACACACTGATGCTGCTCGCACCCGTGCCGCGCGGGCCCTTACCTTACCAAGACGCTCAGAGCGCCCAGCGGAGTCACGAGGGTGGCCGGTGCGAAGGCATACGCAGCAAAGTTGGCCACCTCACCTGCTCCCACTTGGAGAAGGACAACAAGAGAAAACTCAGGAACATATCTCCTCAACATGGAAATGCTGCATTTACGTCTCTATACGCTATTTCGCTGTAGTTAATAATTTCCATATTTTCTCCCATCTGTTCAGAAGTGTTCTCACCAACAACATTCAAATGGAGTCCAAACCGATTAGACACTGTACGAATCTATAATCTTAATTGAAGAGATCTAATTCATGCTTACATCTAGGTCTCGTAAATAGTTTGATAGTACATCCTGGGACGAGCATAAACCAGTTCGAAGCAGCTGAAGCTGACGTGACAGCGCTCCTCCCAGGTCTTTTTCACTGGCTTTTTTTTTTAAACCCAACTCTTACATTCAAAAGATATCTTTGGGCACCTACTATGTGCCAGTTGCTTTCCTCCAATCAGGAAACAGCGGGGAGCAAAACAAAGATGCGCTCCTCCTAAAACTTACGCTTCAGTGGGGGAAAACAGACCAGATGCGCGTCTGGTTTTCCCCTTCTAAAATCTGAAGCATCTCATTCATTTCACATCCCCTCCTACTTTACATCTACCAAATGCTGGCATCTATCAGGAAGACACACATTTTATTATCTTGTTTCTTGTCTTCCATCTGCAATGTTATGTCTTGTGGGTAAGGATTGTTTGAGTAGTGTGTCTCCAGCACCTGGAACAATACCTGACAAAAAATATCTGTTTAATGATTAGTCAACTCAGTGTCTTTGTTATTTCAACTGCTCTTAAGCGTAGGAAGAACATTTACATAATTTCATCCTGAATCCTTTGAAGGCTCAGAGTCTTAAGGGTCATTTTTCTCTGTGTACCTTTTTAAAGGTGATCATCCAGGTAAGCACAGACAGCGTGCATCTTACCAAATGCATACCTCCCAATTAGGAATGAACATCAATAGAGGGGGAACTAAAAACAGGATGTTTCTATGACCTTTCCCTTTCAAAATTACCTTCTCAAACTGAGCAGAATTTTTAAAAATACATAGGTATATCAAACATCTTTTAAATAGGGGAAAAAAAGTCTTCCCATTCAAATTAAACTATTATACTGCCAAATGACTTGGCAGTATAAATTTATACTGCCAAAAATTTTAAATTTAAATTTTAAATTTTACATATTTCGAGTTTTGTTCATTCAAAAATTAGGATTTATCAACATTTGCTAGTAATATGAAGCTGTAACAGCCTATGCAGACATGTCAGGATTCAACGTGGGATTTTCCTGAGATGTTCTCTGTACGTACTTGACAGCAGCCCCGCCCACCACAGCCACTCTTTGAGGTATGCATGGCCACCTTGACCTGTGAACAAGAAAATATTTCACTTCTTTGGAAGATTATCAGATGCCTATAAATTTATGACAAATATTAGTAGTGACATTTTTCAATATCTCATTTGTTGATTACTACTACTTTGAATCAAGATTTCATAGTGATTGTAGACTAAGGGATTTCTTAGATAACACGTGTGCACGATCGTGTAAGAACAGGTGGGAGGGTCATGAGACCGTCGAGTTGTTTAGGTCTGTCCGGCACCGGTGAGTGGAGGACTGAGATCGGTCCCTAGAGCCCCTTCATGCTTCATTCTTCTGTTTCATGAAGAAAAGAAAATGAACCAATAAGTAGCCTGACTGCAAACAATTAGTCTGAAAGCAAAAACGCCCTTCAGGTGTGGGTCAGGCCCACTTCCGAGGTCCAGGAACCAGGAAGGGTCCTCTGCGGATCAGACGTGAAAAGGCTGCCCGGAGGCTCTTCCTGCTTCTTCATGTAACGTTCCTCCCAGCCAAACTAACAGAATCAAGCAGCTGGTCCTTAAGCCACTGTCCAAAAGAAAAAGCCAAAGCAAACACATCCTCTGGCAAGCATGGCCATCACGGACAATGGGCACAGCCGCCGTAGGACCAAGAATGAGGCCACGCCCGCTCAAGCGGCGCATGCCAGCGCACCCTCCTGTGGCCACTAAACAGAGGCTGCTTCGGATGGCTTCACTGGGCTCAACCGTAGAGATGGCACTGGACAAAGGGGGAGGGTGGTATTTTTTACTGCCACTGCAGGTCCTCTGTGAGGTCAGAAAGAAAGGCTGAACGACGGGGTGCCAGGAGCTTTCGTGTGTGCACCAGACGAAGTCGGAAGGGCTTCGCTCACATCGGGTAACCCCCAGGGTCTCCTGACTTGTGACCCTTTGGAAGTTCACTGAACTGAGGACTCTTCGACCCAGGGAAGGCCCTTCTTTCCTTCCTGCCTTTAAGATCATCAGGAAAAACGTCTGAGGTGCAAGTCAAACTATCATAGACAAAAGACTCTAGCCCTCACTCAGTAAGATTCTGATTCTATTCATAGCCCTTATTTTCTCTCTGCAGACGTGTCAAAATTTAAAAGGATGGATGCTAACTTGGCATTGGTTCCTATTCCCGCATCAATCGCAGGAGTAGTTAACTTACTCTGACATCTAATTATTTTTCTCATTGCAGAACTGATGTTCCATTGTCTATGAACATTTACAACCCTTGCACGGTTCAAAGTTTTGAGTACACTGACTGGGGATGAAGATGTGGTCTTCCAGGCAGAGAACCTGCATGCCGATGTCATTTCAGAGTCACATATGGCATAACCTACCTGCTCTCATGGAGCCTTTTCTGGCAAGCCGCAGAAGTCCTTTCTTTTTCAAAATGAAACTGCCTCCAATGAAAATGCTGGAGCTCATAGCCAATCCCAGACCGATATAAAAGTCATATTTTCCACGCCCCTCGCTCATTTCGTTTGTTACTGAAGAAGTTCCTGTGAATCACATTGATCACAGGACAGAGAAACCGCTGGTGCTGGAGGCAGGGTGACGCGGGCCGCTGCAGATCTATAAACGATGCAAAACAAAGAGGTTTTCATAGAATGATCGTGACAGCACAGGCGCAATTCAAAATTGACTGCATTTCTCAGGAAGGAGTAATATTTTATTACTACTACTGAGAATAATTATATTTAGTATGTATATTTAGCACTAATGTAATTAAATCTCTTATAATTACAGCAAAAGATGGGATCATGATACAAAGCTACGCTTAAAAACCAAACACAGAACCAGAGAACTGACTGGTGGTTCCCAGAGGGGCTGAGGGATGGAGGAAATGGGTGCAGCGGGTCAGAAGATACCACCTCCCAGTTATAAGTAAGTTCTGGGATGCAGTGCACGGCATGGCTAGTTAATGACGCTGTATATTTCAGTGTGGCCAACAGAGTAGATCTAAAAGTTCTCATCACGAGAAAAAAACTGTAACTGTGTTACACACAGTGTCATAGAAAGGTGATGGGTGTTAACTAAACTTACTGTGATCATTTCACAAGATGTACACATATATAATCACATACACTAACTGAACACAATATCACATGTCGATGATAAAACTCAAAAAAAAAAACCATATCTAAATTGACTTTATAAACTCCAGTTCATATTGTAAAAACGTTTCCAGTGTTAGAATCTGTAGTTACAAGGCTTATAAGAAAAAAAAATTCCACAGAAGGAAAATCAGGCATAAAGACACAAATCTAGTTTATCGACACACTTAACAATTTCACAAATGTGCCCTTTTTGAATAACCTATACAGAGAAACTCAAATTTTTCTCACCCATACATTTTCTTCTTAGAAACCTACATAGATATAAACATATGGTAATTTCTCATTTAGCCTATTTGGGGCGTGTAGTGAGAAGGCAGATTTTCCATTTCATTAGCAGATGACTGCGGGCCAGCGTGTGGGTCTGGTCCCGGTGGCCTTGTCAGACCACGTGAGGGCCGTGGGGCGCGGAGGGGAGCCCCGAGGCCGGGACGGAGGCAGAGGCGTTCCAAAGCCCGCACATTTTTCCCCAAATGGCCAGCTCGTGAACTCTGGACAAATGCCCTAAAACGGAGTGGCGAAAGGGGAGGGGGGAGAGAACATTCGGCAGCGGGGCTTCTCATCGGTGACAACTGCCAACTTTCTGGTGTTTCCTGAGACTTTAAGCCCCAGGGGCTGCGGAGTCCCGGGTCTCATCGGCAGTTCAGTTGGGCTCCTCGGTCCATGGCCCTCACTGACCAGCTGAGTCTGTCCATCTTTCGGGTTATGAGGTCCTGGCTTTGAACAAAAGCAGCTAACTTTGTACCCGAATGGGACCTACTGCATATCCTGTGTGCCCTGAACGCTGTGTCCTCTGGATAAAATGGTGGTAGCTTTCGTCTTCGGTGGGAGACAGATGCGACCGTTAAATTAGGAGTGATGATGACAGTAGGCACCACCATCACCAAAGTCAGCTAACTCGGGCCAAGGGTGCCAGACAGAGCCCGCCTTTCTGAAACATGGCCTCGCCCCTCCGCGTCGCCCCCGACCCTCATCCGGCTTCCACACACGACGCGGCGACACCGCCCTGTCGAACGCTGCTCTGCCGTCCCCACCGTCCAGCTTGAACACTCAGAACGGCTACCCGCTGTTTCCAGAGAGAAGCCCAAGTTTTGTAATCTGGTAACGACGACTTTCACCCTTTACTCCAAACCTCTCTTTTAAATCTCATTTCCCAAAACTACATTCCACGTACCCTTCCTCGCGAGGTCGGCACGCGGCTGCCATGCCGACCTAGCCCTTTCCTCCGGATCTGTGTAGACATCTCCCTCACCTTCCAGAACCCAGTTCAAAGAGCACTTCTGCGATGGAGCCCTGCGTGCATTCCCTAAGCCGGAGGAATCGGTCTTTTCCGAATTCCTGAGCCTGTAACCTTGACCTCCCTTTGGATGTTTTTCTAGACTATTACGTCTGCCGTGTACAAGACTGACATCGCTTCACGTGGCTGCCTGCGATATGCGCATCTCGTCTACACGGACGCACATGGCCTAGGACAGGGTGACCGCAGTGAGTACAGGACCAGAACCCGGCCCTCGTAGGCTCATGTAGACTTTCTAATCCACACAATGAAAACGTCGTCGTCCCCACCTTACAGCTAAAGAAATGGAACCTCACAGAGGTTAAGCTGCGCACAGAGGGCCACGAAGAAAGTCACACCGCCAGAAATGAAATCCGAAGAGTCCGCTGGGCTCTACGGCCGGACGGCCCGCATCACGGGGAAAGTTCAGAGCTCGCAGTCTTCACTTCTGCTTAGTTTCCACAGGTTTGACTTTTTCCAACTTCTCATTTGGCTAATTATTTTGAAATGCAGTACTTACAAATACTACAGAACCTGAATCTCAACTTTAACTTGGCAGCATTAGTTATTTATTAAAGTTTTAATTTCCATGTAAGCTTAATATGGTCTCCTAAGGAAAACAGACTGGAAGAGGTAGAGATGACTTCCTCTCATTTCCTCGTAAATAATACCCTTTATGGTCATTTAAACTTTTCAACCTGGCAGAGTAGCTCCGGCCTGGGAAGAAGAAAATACAGAAGTAGGCAAAAAGACTGAATAGTTAGTAAGCACTTCGTAAAACGTGGTTACTAGCCTCTGTGAAACAAGGATCTGTTTTCTCACATTTCTTCTTATTACTTCAAAAAGAAAAGCACTAACTGGGCACGCGGCATACGAAGAATTTCTAGAAACAACTAAGACGTAGTCTTCTATCAAAAGAATTGAAAAACCTGGTGGCGAGATTAAAGAGACACAAAACTAAAGGTAAACTGAGTTTAGCGCAGCTGTATGGAGCGGGAAAGAGGATTCAGCGACTTTACAGAAGTTACGAAATGAAAACCGCTTGCTCACATCTCCGCGGAAACCATCTTCTAACGCTCCCCACAACGCAAGTGAACTATTTCAATGACCTGAACGGACGCGCGACAGGGCCGAGCCGGGCTTCGGGGGCTGAGCGGCCGGCCAGCG